TTTTGGCTGGTTATTTGGGTACATGCTCCAGAAATAATGTCGTTGACATAAAATTCTGTAACATATAAAATATCTAAACATGCATGCAAGATAATCAGTATTTTGCAGGCTGTCAGATTTGGATCTTAATATGTACATAGGGCGCACTATAAGTTTCCGGAACTGGCCACTTACATAAACAATATTTAAAAAGTAATTACAACATTTGAAAATGGAACTCTTTGGCTGTAGAATACAGTTTGTTTCATCCGACTGTCACGTGTTTATACATTGTGGCGTCATTTTAGAAATTGATTGTCTACATCACCATGAATTTAACTCGTGAAAATTTTCGTAGTATGATTTTCTACGACTTTAAGTGTAATTTAACAGCTCAGCGGAGCTTCGCTCGGCTTCAAACTGCTTTTGGCGATGAAGCATCAAGCAGAATTCAAACGCGGTCGTTGTGTATCTCAGTGACGAATTCCGTGATGGTCGCCTGTCCACTGCTGTGAACAGCAAAAACATCGATGCTGTGCGCCATATGATCAAAACAGACAGGCATGTGACATACCAAGAGATTCGGGCATCTTTAGGCATAGGCATGAGTCAAATACAATCAATACTACAAACATTTGTATGTGAAAAAGCTGTGCTCCCGGTGGATCCCACACAATTTGACTGAGGCTCAAAAAACGTATAGCGTCTGTTGTCACGGAGGAGTGACTTAAATGTTTTCAAAATTGGTTCATGCGTATGAAAAAGTGTATTAACGGTAACGGAGAATATTTTGAGAAACAATAAATTCATTTCTGAATTTATTGCTTTTTATAGAATTTATAGAATTTTTTTCATTCGTTCTGGAAACTTATAGTGCGCCCACGTAGCACATCGAAGAAGACCACAACGCTCGGAAAACGTGTGAAGTCCCCAACCCCCTGAGCCAGAGGGCGGACTATGACCCAAACCTTCGCCTGAGAGGAGAGCTGTGTCCAGCAGTGAGATGTATAAATGGGTTGATGATGGCGACGGGAATATTTTTAAAACTCCCACTACTATTACGACGTGGTGTTGGTTTAGTTTTGTCTTCGAAAGTTTGTCTTTGGCTTGGTAAAGACCTTTAATGGTATACTTTTAAAGAAGTTCTGTGATTATTGATTTGCTTCTCGTGCTTTGAAACCCTCGCTATACTCGGGAGTCTATTTTTGAACTAATCGCTGCCCTCGTGGCTTAATCGTAGCTCCCTCGCGTAGCGAAGGTTTCAAGGCACGAGACGCAAAACGACTTTGCTGCCGAGCGAAACACACAACTTTTCACTTCACTATAGCGAGGAAAATGGTAGATGAAAGAAAAACAGTTGAACTATAAAACATGCGTTCTGTATTTAACCTCATAAATTTTTATTCTTGCTTGTACTTTTATCTTGTGTGATTAAGTGATTATTGAAATTATTTTAGTTCTTCGACGAATTAAATTTTATAATAATAACAATAATTACGCACACACTCAATATAGCTATATTCCTGCATTAGGGAAACCCTGTGTCGCTGGTGCCATGGAGATACACATAGACAACCATAAATTACGCCCAGCTCACGGGAGAAATAAATATAGGCCATACAAATATTTCTCCAGGCCCGGAAATCGAACCTGAGACGTCTGCGTGACAGGCACGTTAACCGTTCGGCCACAGAGGCAGTTAGTAATAAATGTAATTAGTTATCATTGTCAATTTAATGTCAACAATAATAAAAATAAAATATACCAACCGATTTATATTACATAAATAAGTAATGTAGGAACAAATCGCGAAGTTGAATGTGTCATTTAACTACGCGATCATTTTGATCGAAAGAAAAAGTTAGTGGTGCATACCACAGTCCATCGTCAAATTGGAATTTCAAAAACCTTTACCACGCTAGGTGCAAAAAATGCTTTTGCGCGCTGATTTGCAATGAGAAAGAAAGCCTTTCTGAGCTAGAGAGGTGAAAAAAATTTTTGACGTTGTTATATTAGAACCAATTAGAAAATGATATTGTTAATCTAGAGTATAATTAATAGATTCAGGCGTTACTTTGCGGAAGTCCATGTTAATAAAAATGGAAGTAAATTAATTTGCTATTCCGCGATCCAGCGAAAACTGCATGAAAAAATATTGAACACAAGCGCAGCTGTTTTGCACGATTTAACCTTACTGGGTTCGCGGAGAAGCAAATTAATTTACTTCCATTTTTTGTTAACCTGTGTTACATGATGTAATCATTATGAATCAACCTGTACCTATTTAAACGTGTAGGTACAATTTTGAAAAAATGTCACATATTTTATATATGTTATTGACTAAAACAATATATTTTATATATATAAAACTATGTCTAAATGGCGATCATGTTTACAAACATTATGGTGAGTGTTTCCTAAACAAATTTGACATCTGCAGTTTATCTGTTCACCCTAGTGTAGCAACGGCTCAACATTTCGCTAGTTAGAGTGCAATAAAGTATTGATTCAATTGTTTCAAATGTAATAAACTAAAAACGATTTTTATTTTAAAAGTAAATTTAAATATGACTATCATAAAATTAAATACATTAATAAGACAGCCATTTTTATATGTAACTACTTAACCCGTCACACGTTCTGGACACACGGTGTTCCTAACGATTTTGGTAAAACAAAATTTAATTAATTTTTTAAAGATGGCGGATTAAAATACAGCTGCGGTTCCAAGACGCTATAGTACCAAAACCGTTAGGGACACCATGGGTCTTTAGGACCCGTGATGGGTTTAAAATGTAGTAAGTTAGGTTACGTTAGTTTACGTTAGGTGCTTACTTATTTGGACTATAAGGTAATTCACAATTGGTGTTTTGACGGACTAGATGATATTGGTATTAACTGGTCCCTCGTGATAGTATTTATGAATACTAAACATGCGATTCGTGTTTGTAATTTACATAGCACGGTTAAAGACAGACCAAAAATGTTTTTACAACTTTATATACGTTCAAGAGCAAATAAAACAGAGGTTACATAAATATTTTTCATGTTCATGACACATTGATTGAACAAGACTGAAGTTTCATAGATTTTTAGGTAGAGCCTTATTCTAGCTGGCTGGAGCTGGTTCGAATCCCACTCGATCGAAGGAAGTTATCTTAGTGTTCAATCTTTGTATTAATAATTATAAACTAGACTAGGTTTAGTCCTGTAGTACTTCCATGGGTTTAACTTTAAGTCTCTCGGCTAAAGAAGCGCAGGATTTTATCTGTTGCTGTACGAAGGAAACCGTTCCACATTCATCTGTTTCTTTTGCTTTCTTCTTTTCTTTATCCCCTGGAGCTAACACCGGCAGAGAGGGATCCGACTGTAATTAAATAAAAACAAAGAATCATTGTCACTTATGGGAACATAACGATTGACACTCTTGGGCGATCAATGATATATAGTCGAAAAATTATTTCCAAGCGTATTTTCGATAATACGTCGAATTATTTGTGTTGTAATCAAACCGTATTGAGAAGAATAGTAATTTACGTAACGTTATTATGAGGTATAAAACTGACAACAATTTTGACAGTCGCCCTTACACAAACACAAATAATTACGTACAATATCATTCAATTCCGGTTCACATTCCAAATTTGCTACTTATGAGCTTCAAAATTATACTGAAACAAAAACTTCATATTATATGTAGTTATTTGTATATTATACTCTTGCATACTTGTGTGACAAAAATCCATGGTATGGACCCGTTTAGCTCCGATTATAGACCCGTTAATCTACACGAATTGCACTTGTCGGCGACATGTGGCGCAATCTGGTGTCAGGTAACCGGCCGCGGAATCGCCGATATATGACACCCTTCGGCCAAAACTCTTCTTTCGTGAAGGCCGACAGATGTTCGGTCGGCACTATCACTACAAACGAATTTAAATTCACGTTGTTGGGGGACTCCCAGCGCTTGATTCTCAGTGTATTGCTTCTATCGACGATATTTATAAGTAATGTTGTGAACTAGTCTTTTACATTGTACCATACTAAATATTGTAAGTGACAAATGTGAATGAATGCCTGTTACAAAGATTTACCCCTCAAGAGTTTCTTACTAATCTTTTTCGGGGAAATTTGCCCTAGTGCTTAATCAATGTTACGATTTCAAGTGTTATTTGCTTACCTATGAAATAATGATACATTTGATTTTTAAGTGTGTGTACTAGCTTGACGGCTGTGTATTTTGTAAAAGTATCTTACCGGCTCAATTTTCCTCCAATGCTGCATGCTCTCAGTCAGTCGGTCTCCAAAGCCAGGCGCGAAGCAGTCTATATCGACGGCAATGAAACACTGACCCAAATTCGCAGGCCCACCCGAGCCGCTGTGCGACCATGATCGTATGTGATGGCCGTAGTTGGCACCTAGAGTTTGATTGGAAGAATTATTAGAAATAGAGGAACTACGGAAACGGGTGGTTTGCATTCCTATTGGACATAACTGGTTTATAACTTCAGTCTCAGTCAGCCGTGACCGTGGGACCTGTAAACGGCCTGAAGCGTTAGTCTGGTTGAAACAATTGTTTCATTTCCAATAGAGAAAAGTATTGTGTTGTTGAAGTCGTTTCACTGAAAGTACCCAAGCAATTTATCGAATTTTATAGTCAATATGTGAAACCATTTGGGACTATCGTATGTGCCATGTCTAGCCATCTTTATAATATTTATTTTTCTCTTTTCTTTTCTATTTATTTGGAGAGGGGACTTATTCCACTAAGCTTACCTGAAGCAATTCCGCAGAGCAGATCCACTACACCTGACAGTCCGTATCCTTTGTAGCCAGACGTTTGTTCTCCTCCTCCAAGCGGCATTAAACATTGCGTTTTGAAGGCCTATTAAAGAATACAAAGGAAATAATGATAACCAAAAATTCTAAATTCAATAAGTAACTTCGTGTTTCATTAGAAGATAAAAGTCTAAATAGTTATCAGAAACTGAAGTCCTTGGAAACTGTAATGTCAGCATCGGGCTGAAATGGTAAAAATTTTAGTACAAATTTGGGAACGCAGAATGATTGACGAAGCCTGCGTTCATTAAATATAAATATTATGTAAAAATGATTCCACAATCGGAAATGGTTTTATCAATTATTTTTGTTACGAAAGAGATGTGTACTGACTAGATCAGCGTCTGTGGTCTCTTTGCCGTCAGGCCCTTGCGCCCATCCTCTTGGTAATGGCTCTCCTTTCCGTTGCTGCATCTCAATCTGCAAAACAATTTAGCAATGATATTTAAAGTACGAATGTAATTATATTGACGTATCTAGAATATTTCCAGATCACTTTTTAATAAGTCAACAACAAATGTTAAGCCGGTATCGGAGGCCACATACTGTGTTGGGATTACAGAGTCACGTAATGGCGGCTAGCGTTTGCCTTATTCAATTTTCGTTGACACTAGTATTTTTTTTCATTCGGTTCACATGACCGGATATTCTAAAATAAGATGAAAGCGTTTAATACACATAACGATATGAGAAGAATGTGCCCTACTTGATGTGAACATCGTAATCAAATCTCATTAACAAAAATTGCATAAATGACAGTAATAAGAAATTTGCATCTAATACTTATGATTAGACAATAAATAAAACAAAACTTATCGCAAAGTCAGCACATAAGACACTTTTTAATTGAGTTCCTAGCTGAGGCCACAGAACCAGAGAAAATGTAAAAATCAAATCTGATAGCATTGTAAGAAGAGTACATGCGATAAAATGGACAGTGTTGACCGACGTTAATTATATATATTTGTTAATATTTTAATTTATTGCAGCTATTGTGTAGATACATAATTGTCAATCAATAACGCATTATTGATGGGTTTGCTTTGTCATAGTTGGGTGCATGGTGTAAAAGTAAATAGGAGTTGTCACTAACTTTACCAACGGCAACTGCTGTGGTGGCCATGTCTAAGTAGAAGGTCTCATTTTCAGAAGCATTAGCAACCACTGATATCGGATTCGTACCAAGTGCAGACTGGAAGATAAAAATAAACATGTGAAATAACATAAAATTCAGTATTTGGTCAAGATAAGGATGCTTGCATTGATAATATTTCATGCTACCTGTTTTGGCAGTTAAAAAGCGATAAGCCTTGAGTGTATTGCCATTTGTATTTTAGATCAATGACTTTTTCCAAGGTTATTTAAATTAAAAACCTGGTTTTTACATAAAACTTTTGCCAGCGAAAACTTTAAATAGAACATTGAAAATTTATCTTTGACAATATAGGTTTACAATAAAATAATACACGTTAACTTTGTCGACCTCTGTGGTCGAGTGGCTTGTACACCGGTTTTTGTGGTGTCACCATGCACATGAGGTCCCGGGTACGATCCTCGGCTGGGTCAATTTGAAAAACTAAATTTTCTATATTGTCTCCGGTTTGGGTGTTTGTAGTATCGTCGTGTTTGTGATTTCCATAACACAAGTGCTTTGGTTACTTACTTTGGGATCAAAGCAACGTATGTCATGTTGTCTAATATTTATTATATTTATTTATTATTTATAAGTACCTTCTAACAGTAACAGTTAGCTAGTTAGTTAGTTACCAGGGGTCCGGATAAAGTTGGATATAGTTAGGCTATGTGGGTGTCCGGCTTTTGATAGGATTTTTATATTTGACAACTCATGTCGTCGTATGAGCAAGCGAGGTGTATCGTAGACGCAATGGTAGATAAAGAAAAATGGTAGAAAAAGGTCTGGTTTTACATTAAAAAAATTGACATATTAACAAAGTCTTGAAATGTGCAGCTAAACTGGCTGGTATCTGCGGTTATTCGGTTTTAAGACCTTCTGTTTTGAGATTGTTGTCAAAACAGTAAGACTTTACTGACCTGTTTACCTCTAGTAGGTACTAACAAAGGTGATGTATTTGTGAAAGCCATTCCAATACAACCTCTATCGGCTGCCTTCTTAGCCCAATATCCCGCCATGCCATTGTGGTTTGAACCTTTGAAAGTGAAATTTATGTTACTCCTGTTTAAGATTGATAGTTTTATTTCATAATCTGTCTATCAACTTTGTTTCTTACAGTGATAAATATGAAGCGTAATGGTGATACGAGATGTTTACGAAATTGCCTAACATACAAAGGGTTTCTAATCACTCTTATATATGGTTACAATTTTTATTATGGTGACCGTTTTGTCTCACGAATAATCTCAGTACAGAGTACTAAAAAAACCGACCTCAAAAGTACGTGGAGTTACGTCTATTTGCTAAGTTTCATTGAAATATCCCCTAGTTCGCCGCTATACAGAACTTGATACTAAAGATAATAAAAATAGGTTCTCACTACGACACTACTCAAAGTATAGATATATAAAGTATATCGAGGGAAAAACGCCTTGAATTGATGAAATAGCAAAATCAACTAAATAATTGCTAAAAGTAATTGCTCCTAAATTAAAGTTAGGCGCTATTTATAAAAATGAATCTTCATGCGTGAACAGCCACCCTTTGAGGTGGATGATTTCCTTCAAAATGAAATGGGACTACTATGGAAGTACCCCCTTTCCAACAAAGAAAGAATCATGAAAATCGGTTCACAAATACCGGAGTTATCGCGTAACAAACATACAAAAAAAAAAAAACAAAAAAAAACATACAGTCGAATTGAGAACCTCCTCCTTTTTTGAAGTCGGTTAAAAAAAAATTATTAATAATAATGTTAATAATTTTTTAATTAAAATAATTTAAAATTACAGTTTGCTCGATGGAGTATGAATGGAATGGAGAAAGTAATTAAGTAACTTTTTTTTCATATTTTCAGAGGGACGGCCGTAGTAAAATTTATTAGTATGAATGGGTGGAATTATGTCACCCAATCACCTGAATATATTTATGATATAGTCACCTTTAACAGTAACCCAACCAACACCGGTTTCCTTGGCCTTCTTAATAGCGATGTCCATGGCAAAGTGGCTAGCTGTAGCTCCTAGGACGTTGTTAGCATCCACCCAGGCAGTCGATGGGCTTTCTTTCAGCACTGTTGGTTGATTATTTGGAGTACATGCTCCAGACAATATGTCGTTGACGTAAAATTCTGTAAAAAGTAGACATGTTTGGAACACATCCATCAAATGGCGATTATATAAAAATCCACGACACTAAAATTTACTACATGTTTTATTGATTATTTTACTATGGTTATAAGAACACACTGGTATCTAATTTTACTAATTGTTTACACTGTAACAGTTAGCGTTGCCAGGGGTCCGGATAAAGTTGGACATAGTTAGGCTATGGGGTGTCCGGATTTTAATAGGATTTTTATATTTGACCACTCATGTCGTCGTGTGAGCAAGCGAGGTGTGTCGACGCAATGGTAGATGATAAAAAAGGTCTGGTTTTACATTAAAAAAATTGACGTATTAAAAAAGTCTTGAAATGTGAGGTGTCCGGTCATTTTGAAATGTGCAGCTAAACTGGCTGGTATCTGCGGTTATTCGGTTTTAAGACCTGGAAACCTCAGTCAGAGTGATGTATATATCAAGGCATTCGGTCCCACGTTACTCGCATCATTACAATTTTAATTAAAAGATACGTTACTAGCCACTTACATAAGTATGTGCTATTTTTTCAAGGTTATTTATTCTGCGCTCTCTGCACTATTTTATTTTCACAATTATGATTTAAAAAGTAAGCGAGGATTTGCATGAAGCGTACGCTTCCACATTTGTATGGAAAGCAGCTATGGAGTGGAATTCCCTGTATGCAGACTAAGTCCTTGAATATTATGAATGAGGCCTTTTCAAGGCGAAAGTGAATAGACATTATTTACATGCTCCACCGTCTACCTCGTCGTCACTTTTCGTCAGGTAAGATGGATGCCAATTGCACACTTATATTTTATTAAAAGAAAACTTATGAAACCAAGATAAATATTGAGTGGTGGTAAATATAACTCAGTACAGAGAAACATTAGACTTATTTTTAAATCTTAATTATTTATTTTTGTGTTTTTTTTAAGTAAGTTTACCTTTTTTATACTTGTCGCCAATTGTTATTTTTCTTCAGTCCTTAAGAACACTGGCTCGACAATGTCATGCATAACGTAAATTCCCGTCCATTTTTGACAACAGCTCTCGTCATACTGATTGGGTATACAGACGCATGAACACACGACACATTGTATGTCAAATAGCATACGTACACTACAGTAGGTACTTAGACAAAAATGCACGATCGAATCAAGGACAATAGGCAATTAATTCTAATTTAGACGATTACTAAACATTACATGTATAAACTATAGCTATTACTAAAATGTAATTGCAATTGCAATGAGTGTAATTCTCACTGTTAGGTATAAGTGAAATTGTAATGTGTACACAGCATCTTATTTATATGAAAGAGGCCTTATTTGTATATAAAACCGTATATTACAATTGCAAAATCAAAGTACATACATTGTGCAAAATATTTGGTTGGTTGGATTGAATAATACCTAAAAAATACTAGCGCATGTACAGAATTATTATGTTTATTATTCTGTGGCGGCAGCCAAGGTAATAAATAACAAAGTATAATAAGAACAAGTAAGTTAGTAGTAAGTAGTAAGTTTTTTTACCATCCTCTAAGGTTTAATTGTACATTAGTAGTAATTTTTATTTTTATTTTATTTTTTAAACTTATTCACTACGTTCTTTGTATTCTCGTATAATCTCTTTTTGGCTTGCTAAGCACTTTATATTGTTTCATGTTGGTGGAAATTCGTAAATGACATTGGATTACTCATATTTAAGTATACTATAATTGTATTATTTGTCCGTGAATTTTCCTAAAATGTATAAATAAATAAATAAAATAAGACAAATCTTGCCTGTTCGGCGCGTAAGTGCCTACACTTCGCTCGGAGCGTAGCTAGGGTTGTTACATTATTATTATAGTTGTACCTACAGGTTGCAACCATAATTGAAATAAATTAAAGTATTCGTCACAAACCCAGTAGGTGGCTAGGTAACCTAGTGTGTAGGTGGCAAGTATACATATATTTCACGCGCAGTTTACGAAAGAGTTGTAATAAGTTCCTCAGTTGAATTATAAGATTGCGTTAGTAGCCATAGAGAGACCCTTTGTTTGCAAGAATTTTTCGGGAGGGGGAATATTGTCTAATAATCTCATATTGTGGAGGTATTTAACTGATTAACAAGCATGAAGTTAGCTTACTTGTAATATTATATTATGCTAATAGTGTATTTCGAAAATATTTGTAGGTGCCATTACCATCAGACATTTGCATAGCATACAATAACGAATGTAAAACCCCTTACCGAGCCGATTAAGTCCATGACTAGGGTGTCCAAGTCTGTCTGCTTGGATAAGCAAGTCGGCCTGCTGTTCAGCCGCCTTCGCTGCTGCTCCAGCCGCCTTCAAGCAGTCGACCATGAACCGAACTGCTTCTGAAATCTTCACTTTACTCATGGTGTATCTGGAATTAATATTTTGTGATAATTAAGCATTGTTCTAAAATGTAAATCAATACTTATACCTTAGCATAAAAGAAACAATAATTTTATTTTTATAACGTTTTTTAACAAACCATCCCGGTTCTTTTATATTCATTTAAATTGATTAAATATTAGGTTCAATTAACATTATCGCGGTACGAAAATTCCGTATTCCTTAACCTGTCGAGTACTATCGCTTACTTTATAAGGGTGAGATCAGACGAGCATAATTTTGTGAGTAGTGAGTTGGGTTATTTGAGTTGCGCAGTTTGCACTCAACCGAAATTCGGTTGAAGCGCCAGACGGACGTATTTTATTCAGTTGCTTTTAAGCGTTTATACGGGGTGTTTGTGTCGTAATCGTGTAATGGATCCATTAAAATAGTATTCGTTTATGAAGCATTAGAAGACAATGTTAGATAAAGAAAAGGAAGCTGGGTACATCTACACAATATGAAACGATTGAAGCGTGGGCAGTTTCATGTATTATATACAAATGCATATGAACATCCAGTTCAATTTGTTAAGTACTACCACAGTCCAATAAATGTTTTTCAAGAATTATTAAGCCTAGTAAAACCTTTTATTACTAAGTCAGATACAAATATGAGACAAGCCATCAGTCCAGAGGAAAGACTAATAATAACAATCAAGTAAGTTGTTCAATTATTTATATTTTAATCTCCGTTTCGAATATTTTCGCAAGAAACGTCTATACTTACGCGCGTTCTATACCAAAGTGACTCCTTCCTTCACTCCTACGGAGGTGTCATTACGCCCGTGAGTCGGTAGATAACTTATTTTGCGTCGTCGTGTGAAACGAATCATACTTTTATATGAATCCGAATGCAGCGTAAACTACGCGACTCACAACTCACAAAATTACGCTCGTCTGGCCTCACACTTACTGATTGTGTCACCATTGAACAACAAATAGCTAATATTTGGAGTACTGCAAGAACCGAGAAATCCCGGTTCCGTTGAATACTAGTACAAAAATTCCCGGTTATTCGAAACATACCCGGTTCCGGAATCCCTAAACGGAATCGAAGCAAATTTTTGTAATGATATTGTACATAGCATAATGAACTTTATGTCAAATTGTGTAACGCACAAACTAGATTCGTACGTAGTTCGTTACGGTAGCAGCAGGAATTTCCGAGATTCCGCAAGAATTATTCGAAAGACGTGCGACTTGTTTTTGGCTCTAAGTTTGTATGCAATTTTTGTAACTATAGGTTACAAAAATTTGCTTCCATTGCATTCAGCAGCGATGTAAATTTAGTTTAACACAAAATCGATTTTATTTGATATGCAAAATCAAATAAAAACATTACAGAAAATTACGTATTTTTTGTCTATTTTTTTATGGTGTTTACTTTTTTCAATTGTATTTCAAATTGTTCTCCACTTCTTTTGAATACACGGTACAAGCTTATTATATTATTGATCCATTTGTTGTTAGTTTCTGGAAATACTGTTCTACATTAAGTCGTTGCACAGGAAGCGGATCATTCCACCCTATAACACAATAAGTTTTATTATAAAGACCGCTCTGATGCAACGTATAAATAAAGCAGCTGTTCCAAATATTTTTGTCCAGTATGAATGAACGCTTAATATTAAGGTCCATGCGATTTGTACATTTATACTACTTATATGGTTTTAGTATAACATGTAAAGTATGAAAATTTTATTTCTTTAACCACATGCTTTTTATTGTTCTCAAGCGTTTTCCAAAGACCTTGGATAATATTTTAATGAAAGATATAAAGTAGGTAATACAATGAGTATATAACCACATTCCCCAATACACGGATTACTTAATAATAAATTAGTTGGTGACGAAACTTGTTTACAAATATCGAATACTCGAATAAAATTATACAGATATATAAATGCATAGAATTGTAAATATAAGTAAAGTATATAAATATATTTACTATTATCGAGTTCTTAGGTTTTCACGATTGCTATACATAGGAAATTAAAATATGTTTTGGGTTGTTAGCCGTAACCGTGACCCCAAAACGTTGATTTAAAAAAATACACGATTTAAATTCGGAAAAAAATAGTTCCATTTCCTATCTTTAAAAATCGCAAAAACCTAAGAACTCGGTAAATATCAGACTTCATATTTTACACTATTTCTATTTACACACAAACTGATTTATAAGAGTCGTAACGGACAGGTACGAGTGCATACAAATATTTAACTTATTTAAAAAAGCAACTTTGTAGATAACCCACCAGTTAAATCGCATGTTTAAGGAAAAATATGTACAACCTTGTCTCTAAGTTGGTTTAATTTAAGTATAATTCGTTAAAATTCTGTCGAGCTCCTCATTATAATTTAAACAAAATTCAAAACTAAGAACACATACAACTTAAAATATAAAATAAATAAAAACTTACTAAAGTTGTATATCGAAAAGACGCGCTCCTCCGTACGCGCTTCGGCGATCACTGAATCGTGTGAGATAACTCACGACCGCGCCGGTGGCGTTGAATGCGTTATTCAAACAACTGTATATTAAATTAAGCAAGGTTATTGACGTAAAGGATTAATCAAATGAACATTTAGCTTATTTCTTTATTTTACAAACGTTTATAAATAAACTAATATTATCCTTTGCAGCTTGCAGTAACACGATGAGTTTTTTCCTCAATGCCTTTTTGACTAATTAAAAGTAAACCTAATTTAAATGTAAATGTAAAACAAACAATATTTCGTTACAAGTTATTCTTGATGATAAGATAGATATGTTGATAAATAACTCTTTAGTAAAGTCAACTACTACAATGGTATGTTTGTAATTTTTAATAAATTTACAATTATACTTAGTTAAAGTCCTCTAATACAGGACTAAAAACAGGACTTAATTCTACCATACGGAACTGAAGACCGTCGTATGTATTTTTATATTTAAGTTTTATGTTTTTAATTCAACAGTACTTATTTTTGAACTCTTTTTTATTACATTTTTTTAAATTCCGATGTCAATAAAACTTAGCATGTAAGTATAATCCTAATGAATCCATGTGCGTTTCAGTTATCGTTGAGGACGTTTATTCCCACTAGTTCAGTTGTACAGTTCTGTCTTTGTTCTGTTAACAAATAGACAGTTATCTTCACAGAACTACTGACAATTTTCTGTCGCACTAGTTCTGTTTACAGAACGATTGGTACTTTCGTCCCATTTGTTCTGTTAATAAATTTACTCTTCTTCACAGAACTGAGAGCGCGGTAAAGAACACAGCGAAAGCGAAGGAGTTAACTTTTGAGGTCGTTTTTTTTTTTTCATAAAATAATTATAATTCAGACTATCAGCTCAAAACACAATAAAAAGAAATAAGAAAAGAAAAAGAAATAGAAAGTGGTAAAATATAAGTGCGCATTTGACCTCCATCTCACCTGATGGGAAGTGATGATGAGGTCGACGATGGAGCATGCACACCTAGATAATGCCTAAAATATTATTCACTCTCGCCTTGAAAAGACCCAAGTTATAAAGTTCAGGGAACAAGTCTGCAGGCGGGGAATTCCACTCCATTGCCGTTCGCCATATAAATGTGGAAGCGTAACGCTTCGTGCGAATCTTTGGAATATCCACAGTATAGGGGTGGAACCCAAGCCTACGCCTAGTCCCCCGGTAATCGAAAGAGGAAGGCGGAATTAAATCGCATAATTCCATCACACACTCTCCGTGATATATCCTGTACAATACCGACAAGCAGGCAACTAACTTTACGGCGGTGTTCAAGACTCTGCAGTTTCGCCTCCACTAATTCCGAGTCACTTATAAGCCTCTTGCCACGGTTTTCAATTGAATCCAAAGTGGCCAGTTGATATGTTTGAGCTATCCCAAAGGTGGCAGCAGTATTCCATGCACGATCGGGCATGTGCTTGGTACAGCAGAAGCAACTGTCCCGGTGTAAAGTAACGCCTCACCCTGGAAAGGATCCCAAGCTTCCTTGCTGCATTTTTGGCCATTGATTCAATGTATCTGCCGAAGTTCAAATTGGACGACAGGTCCAATTAGCTGTTCCAAGTAGCTGGAGACAATCGGCTATCGGTATGGATATATCACGAAAAGTCGGAGTCAACTCAAAGGGACTCCGATTTGTGGAGAATAGACACGCCTGCGTTTTGGTAGCGTTAAATTTGATAATATTAGCATTGCACCAGTCGGAGCTAGCCTGGAGTATCAAATCTAAACGGCTAACCACGGACTCTCGACAAGACTGGATTTCCTCTACACTGACCCTTGCATTGGTCAAGTACTCACCTACAACTGTGCTGTCATCAGCTTACGCAAAGGTACCTAGAATTAACATATCATTGATATGCAGCAGAAAGAGAGTTGCAGATAGTACGGAACCTTGAGGAACTCTATCGCCATATGTTCGAAAGAGTAGCCTTCTAAGACCACTCGAATCGAACGTTCGCTCAAGAAATCCGAGATCTAATTGCAAAGGTCAGTGGGAAGCCCATGAGAGGGAAGCTTACTTAAAAGGCTTGCGTGCCAGACCCTGTCAAAGGCTTTAGAAATGTCCAAAGACACTGCAAGTAATTCGCTTTGCTTTTCTATAGTCTCGCTCCATATGTGACAGGCATGCACAAGAAGATCGCCAGTAGATCGCCCTCGTCGGAATCCGTACTGGCGATCATTGAGGAGTCGTTGTCTTCAAGGTACGATAGGAGATAGTTATTGAGGACACGTTCCATAGTCTTGCAGAGTATGGAAGTGACTGAGATAGGTCTATAGTTGACAGGGTCGGCTCTACTTCCCTTTTTTTGGTACAGGTTGCACGTTTGCAAGCTTCCACGACCTGGGAACTACACCAGTCTCAAGTGAGAGGCGGTACAGAACTACCCGTTAAAGAGTTCGTCCAGGGAATTACTGCCGTCAAGCAGTAATGTGAGCATTATTGTGTTACAGCTTTGAAGGTGATGATGATTTCTAAATCGCTTATACACTCCCGGACACGTAAATCGAACCACCTTGTATTTTCAATATTAAATGCTTAGCTTAAACAATGCGTGATTACTCAAAAATGCTATTATGCAACTTTGGAACTGGTACACCAAACGTCATTTTCTTAAGCCCTTATTGAAAATTTGAATTTGAAACATCGGAGAAAACTTTTTCTTCGATCGAGTTCTTAGGTTTTCCCGATTGTTATACATAGGAAATGAAACTATTTTTGCGAATTTAAATCGCGTATGTTTGTTTTTTCAAACAAACCGACGTTTCGGGACAACCGTGACCATGGGACCTGTAAAGGGCCCGAAACGTTGGTTTGATTGAAAAAACAAATATACGCCATTTTTCTTTGATGCGAACTATATTTTTATATAACATTTTATTAGGATGAAAATGCAAGGTGGCTCGAATTATGTGTCCGGGCGTGTATATTTACCGAGTTCTTAGGTTTTACGATTGTTACAGATAGGAAACGAAACTATTTTTTTTTCCGAATTTAAATGTCGTATTTTTTTTAAATCAACGTTTCGGGGCCACGGCTGACAGCCGAAAAAATTGTTTAATTTCCTGTGTATAGCAGTCGCGTAAACCTAAGAAGAAGAAGTGTAAGGGTGCTGGTGCAATTACAGGCACATGGGACTTGTCAAGTTATATCTCAGGGTGACACGGGCGCTGTAGCAGTGCTCCTCAGATCTTGTCAATTAAAGCAAAGCACTGTGTGGCACTGCAACTGTTATGAACAGGTGTGTCGCTTACCACTAGGTGCTCTTGTTCACCGCATCACTTGGTATAATAAAAAAGAAAAGTAGTGTAGCCTACACAAAACTTTTTTTTCTACAATATTACTTTAAATGATACATATATGTATGTAAAGTACATATATTTGGATGTTATTTTCATGTATAATATTACAATAATAATAATAAATACTAACTTCAGATTATAAAATAAAGAAAGTATGAAAACATTTAATTATATTACATTTTTTAATGATAATAACACTTTTTAAATTAACATTGCGTCAATGGTACAATTATAGTTTATCACAAATTAAATTAATAATAATATTCATTGGAATAGGGTCAATTTCAGGTCATTAGCCCTTCTAATATCTCTAAACACTCTGTGGCTGTTAATATACACCGGTTTTGGTCAATATTAACATTTTCACGTGTTTAGATAGATACGACAAGGTTACATAGTATTAGTTCTAGTATAGCATTTATTGTATTATCTGTGGTGTTAGCTCATTTTATTGAACGTGTCGTTTACATAATGTCAATATAAACAAACGAAGAGATAAAGATTTGTTTGTAACACGATTGCGTATCAAATGTAGCGCTGTAAGGAACATAATATGTCATTACATAAGTGGTTCAGTTTTAAGTGCTTATAAATAAACGTTTTCGTAAATTATACCTCCAATAGTCGTATCGTATATAATAGGTAAGTTAAGTTTGAAATATTTTTATTAAAAATACGATTACTAAAACATAATTCCAAATAAGCCTCGCTCCCAATAATAGAAGAACTGTTGTGGCCTAATTATAATTACCCGCATAGAAGTCGGTCATTCTAGGGTCACAGTTCACTGACGAATTGCCGTGACAATTTCAATTTATAGCGTTATTATTATCTATTTCGAGTGTTTTGATTTTTATTATTTCGAGTATGTTAACGTGAAATGTATTTGATATTCGAGTATAGCGACCAATAGTACGACTTATATATACTATTCGATACCTCCAATGAACACTACGTCAACTTAGTATTTTAGCCATTTTCTGTTGTTTTTGTAAACAGCCACATTTATTTACTAATACCATGCTTCCCTAATTTTGTGAAAAAAAGAAATAAAAAATAAAATAAAAACAGAACAGCCTCAAAAATTAAGCTGACGACGTAGTGTTCATTGGAGGTATCGAATAGTATATATAAGTCGTACTATTGGTATAATTAAGCCCCCTTGTGATTATACGTCAAAAGTGCTTGTGTTATATTATTATTATCAATATCAACTCATTTATACGTCTCAATGCTGGTCATGGGCATTGTTGCCAGATTAGGCGATTTTTCGCCATTTAGGCTACTTTGAGGGGTCGCGCGGCGACTAAAAAAGAGATAGGCGACTAGGCGATATTTAGGTTATGTTTGAAATACGAAAAGGCGATTTTAGGCTACTTAATAAAATATCTCGGGAATTACAAATTTTATTGGGGATTTTGTGGAGAATGGACTCATTTAGGGGTTTGAGTATTTCGACGTGTGTGGTTGGAGACTTCTCACCTTTTCCGAGGGTTGTGAAACGTCTTCGACGTAGAGGTTTCATCATGATATTTTCCTCTCATGGTAAATTTCAAATTAAATTTTTTCCACATAAATTCCGAAAAACTCAGAGGCAGTAGGTCAAACCATTAGGTTACGACGGCTTTTAAAACATGAACTACACGAAAAAACATGAACTACATGAACTAAACGTTGTTCGTGGAATCTTCAAATCTCTCACCAGCAAAATTGTCATTTTGCAGATGTGGCCTTATTACATCAAATGTGAGAAACATTTCATATTTACATCCGACTTAATAAACCTGAGTATGAGTCAATGGTCTCATAAAACTTATGTTACGAACGCCGAGAAAAATTTCTTCGATCCTGCTGCCGCTGTTTTGGATTCAGCCGGACTTATGTAGTGTTCAATATTTGTATTATTAATTATAACAAACTAGTCAAGTCATTTTATAAAATAAAAAATAAAAATAGTTGAATATGATGGTAGTAACATCGTGAAATTCGATAAACTTAATAACAGTTTAGTGTGCTCGTTCAGGGAAGTACTACCTACCACCTTACCTATTGCTACCGCCAAGCAGTACTTTGAGCATTACTGCGTTCCGTTTTTGAAATGACTGGTGGTATTACACCCACATGGGACTTGTCAACTTATGTCACAGCGTGACGGGCCCGATGGCTGTGCTGTGCCCCTCAGATGTTAGCAATTTAAAGCTCTAAGTAGCACTGTAACTGCTGTGGACAGGCGTGTCGCTTACCAACAGGAGCACGACTAGTTCGTCCTGAACTTGGTATCATACAAAAAATACTTATGTTATGTCTAGGACTCTAGATCTCGAGTATATCATATTATACGTAAACAACAAACTTTCTCTGCGACATTCTATCGCTTCCTTCTGAAATTTAACGCTACAATACAACCGCACAAGATTATATAACGAAATGCCCCCCTTTATAATGCCAGTTGCAATGTTCCCAGTAGTCATATCATAGCTAACCATGCCTGAAGTACGTGTGGAAGAAGCGAAGAGGTTCATGGAGGATAGTCTTAAGGCTGTTGGTGCTCCCGAGAAAGAAGCTAAGGCTCATGCTGCCCTGCTACTCCATGCGGATCTGACAGGACATTTCAGTCATGGAATGAATAGATTGGGTATGGTAAAAACGTTTTTAAGTTATTATTTATAACCAAAAATTTTTTGAAAAAGACCCCCATTTTTGAAAAAAAAAATTGTTTAAGTTTATTTGTATTGTTTTTGTGTGTATGTCACGTGGTTATTCCAACATTAGTGATATTATTTATACGATTTACATTATCCTTATATTATATTTTGTTTTCTACCTAATAATTCCTTTTATGTCCCCAGAACTTTACATCAATGACATTAAATCAGGAGCTACGAATGCAGCGGCAACGCCAGTAATCCTGAAGGAGTCTGCAGCGACGGCCTGGGTGGACGGGTGTGATGGCCTCGGAGCCACTGTTGGCAATTTTTGCATGGAACTGGCGATTAGGAAGGCTAGGGAAGCAGGAGTTGGAATTGTTTCAGTAAAACGTAAGTTATGTGCATTAAAGTTGTGACGATGCTGACCTCCTCCATCGTCAACCCATCTTTTTATCATCCTCTTTTATGGTTCATGGCCACTTATTTCTGAAATTTTGAATAGTTCTCGAATTCTCCTTTTGTTCACTATTCTTACGTTTGTTCTATTCATCGTAATTAAAGTGAGGATGATGCAATCGAGAGTTGAACTTTCTTTTGTCTATATAATAACTTGTCGGTATAAAGTAACTTGTATTATATCTCTGTGACATTGAAAGGTTGATGGTGCAATTAAAAGCACGTCAAGCTTGACACTTTGTGCTTTGGACCGTTCTTATCGTATGCGGCATAGAGTTGGATTTAAATCTTAAGTGTCAAGCTTGACGTGCTCTTGACTATAATGAGTATTATAGTACTATTACATAGGACTATAATCAGTTTCAAAAAAAGAACGTCGTATTTTTGTTAATTAAAATATTCGCTTCTTGCCCGTGGATTATCTGCCTGGTTCACCTCGATGGACCACGGGCACCTGTCCACCTGGGCGGGGGGTTATTTTTTCTCGTTAGCAATCTAGGACGCTACTCAAACGCAATATTGCCTCCTGATTGGTTAAATTAGCCTAAAGTCTGGCAACCGGGCTATAAATGTTTATAAAAAAAAATTTGGTTAAAACATTTTTTGTGGTGTTTGGCCAGTTCTATTCTATCTCTTTGGTTTTTTTGTTCTGTAGTGCGTTATTATTCTAAGCTGTAGCGTTTGTCTGGCTTTCGTCTAAATTGTATGAAGAGGCTGTTGGTGGAATCATTGCCCACCCTAATAAATGGGTTAAAATTTGCGTTTGTTGTCATGGATTGTTAATAAACTATAAATTAAATATTGGTTTTGTTTCATAATTTTATTTACTCGTAGAAAAAGTATTGTATGCAATTATTACGCCATAATTAGGTCTTAAAATCTCGTACTTAGTACTGTAGTCTACCTAGGCTCTACTCTATGAGTAGAATCACTGGCTGAATGAATAGTTTTGTAATTAGAATGTTTTGAAAAATGAAGAAAGAAAAGAATGGAGCAACTTGATATAACGTAATGTAACCCGAATAAGAAAATATGTGAAAGAATACAATAAACCAAGTTTTGAAGATTATTCCAGTTTAAATTCATAAAAATACCTCTCGCTACGCAATCCGAGCTACGTCCCAGTTACAAATGGTGGAGGCGCCGGGTAGGCCATGGTGCTCGGCTTTAAGAACCCTCATTATGCACCAATTGCTTAAGAATACTATTGTACACCTCCTTTTAGCTACAAAATGAAGGTATAATCAGAAATATACATTGTTTTATAATTTAGTTTTGGTAATTCTGGTTTTTGAGCCTATTCAAAAGTTCACATTAATGGAGGTTACAGGTTTACGAATTTGGCCGACAAGTGGTATCTTATCCATGGCATGGAAATTCAAAATTTTTGATTGCATCAGTTTGAGTGTCGATGACATACAATTTCTTTTCTGTTAGGTACTCTTTTATTCCATTGCAATTTCATTTTTTCACTTCTCATGCTCTTAAAGTTCGTATTTATGGCTGCATAAAATAGGGTTTTATGCTCTTATCACATTAAATATGTCTAATTGTTGTAATTTTATGTAAATGTATTTAATTAAATTTGAATGTTCAAATTTATTTAAATAATCGTTTATTTGTAATATTGCTTTTAATTTCCTCGCAATCGAAATGAAAAGCAGAGTGTATAACTCGTTCATAAAACCCATTTTACCCTCGACTTAATAACCCTCGAAATAAAACGATACACTCGTCTCGGGTAAAATGACGTTTTATGCACTTGTTGTACAATCTACTACTTTATCTTTCTTTTGTTTAGTCACAATTGTTTTTCTTAGTGTTTATTTTCACACTTCAACACATTTTATTTATAATACAATTTTTTTTTCAATTAATTCTAGATCCTGTAGTATATTACGCGGATTCTTCCTTTGAGTGTAGGTAATTTTCGTTCCTACATGGCAGAAAGAGCTTCAAATATAACAGTAAACTTTTAGGATATTTTTACAAAATTATTGGATTTCTTTTTATCATATAGGTGAAGTAGCTGATTCCTTGATATTTTCTAAAATCCGTTGTTCTGGTACTCATAATACAGGGAATACCGTAGTTTGAGATCCGGTAATTTGTGTGGTTGTCTGGTACATATTGCATTATACATGCATGCACTTTACGCTTTTTTCCCATCGGGGTAAAACGGACAGAGAACAGACGTTTTGACGCTTTATGTCAGAAACGCAAAATGCCAAATGGGAGAATGTCAGATTAGCAGAATGCCAAATTCGCAAATTCGCCATAGTCTAAAAATGCCAAATAACGCTGCTAGGAACAGGCATATCTCCTATTGAGGCATGGATAAATGTCCAATAGTAGACGACCACAGCCTTCCATTACTTTTGATATTATTCTTGAACATATTTCTTTTTTTATATATGTAAAAGTATTTTTGTATTCAATTATCATTCTTCTAGGGTGCAATCATTTCGGCATGGCAGGTTGGTGGGCGCAAAAAGCACAGAGCGAAGGTTTTATAGGAATGGCTTTCACCAACTCTTCACCTGTAATGGTGCCGACCAGAGCTAAACACGTAAGAAATCTATTTGTAAACTTAGTTAACGATTAATTTCTCGATTACGTACAAAGTGATCAACCCGGTGAATTCCTAGTCCATTTTTATCGTTGGTATCCAATAAGAGTTATTTTATATAACAACAGGTGTGTATGTAGGTAGAGTAATCATCTTGATACGTAAAATGCGACGAGGGATTACAATTTGGCATCACAAATGATACTTATAATTTAGAAAGTAGCTTTATTCGGTACACCTGAAAGCTCAACTCACACTGGCGCAGAGTCGAAGCGTCACGTCGCGTCCTGTTTTTCAACTCCACCGCCAGGCGACGCGCGACGACGCGCGACGATGCTCGTATTAGTGCGCCGGGTTTGCAGTTTGGTCGGGGTCTGACGCCTCACGGCGCCCAAGTGACGCGTTGCGACGCGCGAAGCTGCTCGAATGCTACCAAGCGTCGACGCGCATCGCCGCTCGATTCCATATTTGCAAAACACAAATTTGTACCTTAATAATTGGAAAATATAGATGAATATGCTATAGGCGAAAAACATGACGCGTCGCGACGCTTCGTCTCTGCACCAGTGTGAGTTGAGCCGAATACGTCCACCCCGACAGTAGTCGATACTTAAATGAAAACCAATATGGAGTAATTAAAAAAAAACTGATATGGTGTCCAACAATACCTACATATATTGGCATTCAATGCCCTTTTTTGCGAATCTTGATCCTGTTCAAAACAGCATGATTTGGCGCCTGGTTGGTGGATATTCCCAGAGTGATTGAGTGAATGTTTTTGTAGCAGTAGAGCTCTTCGTGAAAGAGTTCGTCCAGGGAGATGCAGCTACCTTGCCTCTTTCTATCATCAAGAGGTAATGTGAGCATAAGGGTGAGACCAGACGAGAGTAATTTTGTGAGCTGTGAGTCGCGTTTTTTGAGTTGCGTTGTATGGTGTTCGTTTCAAATTTGGTTGAGGCGCCAGACGAACATATTTCATTCAGTTGCTTTTAAGTGTTTGTACGAGGTGTTTGACTCATATAGTGTTATGGAGCAAAGAAAAGTTTTTTTTCATATGATTCATAGATAGTAACAACTTTAATACTTGTGACATGCAGACGGATTATTTTTTTCTACTTAGAAAATGATTGGAACTAAACTGTAAGTAAACCACGGATATTACATTTTCGTATATTTTGAGATATAAAATAAAATCTATTTTTATCCATACAAAAAAATTATAATTATTATTTTTCTCCGAAACTATCAACTTTTCAAGAAATTATACAAGAATAAAAGTTGTTAGGAATGTTATTATTGATCACATTAAAAAAAATTTGCTCGATACTCCACAAGTTATTCCTATGTCCAAGAATTATCAATTTGGACCCACTGTGCGTCGTGTGCAATAAACCGGAGTTTTATATGAAACCGAATGCAGCATATATTACGCAACTCAGACAATATAACTCACAACTCATATAAGTACGTTCGTCTGGCCTCACCCTTACTGCGTTCTGGGTTACATTAAACACCCCTGTGGTAGCGATGGAACTAATTGTATTTTTTTCAACTCGAGTAACTTGAGTTGACATGACTGTTAACTCGAGTTGCAACTCGGTGTTAACTCGACTTGGTATCTGAAAGAGCAACCGCGAGTCGCGAGTAGAACTCGAACCGACGACGATTCACCGAGCTGGGCACGATCGGTCTGCCGACCGTGACTCGAGCGTGCTTCAAGGTCGCCGAACCGACCGAGTGAGACCGAATAGCCGACGCGCTGTATTATCATATCATATCGAACCAGCTCGTCACAAAGCTTTTTTTTGATTACCCGAGGGAATCTGCTGACAGATACCCCGGCCCTGCGGGGGCAGAACCGGGGTTATGTGAGACTGGGCTGAACCCTGATGGGGAGCAACCCGACCGCACCAAACCCCCGGGGTGTTCCTCCTCTCCGCTGCAGGTAGAGGAACGGGTACGCTATCGCTCGTTCGCGCCTCCATCAGTGGCTGGCCGCCCCACAACGGTCCCCCGACTCCAAATGTAAGCCTTCCATCTCGGGCCCCTTTATGCTGGGCAGCGAACTCCGGCCCCACCGCAACTGCATCTGCACCCTAAGCGGTGCAGCCCCGCCAGAGTCGCGGAGGATAGGACGACCGGCAACGGCACACCGACACGTCTCTTCCCCCGCAACCCTCCTCCCCGCATGCGTCCGCACGGACCCGCTTGGCCTAGATCAAGACGAGCCCGCACAGTACGGTCTCCTCCTCGGACCAGCCTAACTCCATCGGCCGGCCCGTGAGTTCCTCTTAGCTTCACTGTGGGATGAAATCGACCACGGTTACTAGAGCCACGACAAGGCGGGAACCCATTCGGGGGGGCGACCACGGCTACTAGGGTCCCCCCGCCACGACAAGGCGGGAACCCATTCGGGGGGGCGAGTTCACAAAACCTAGCTCGAGTTGACTCGTGGGAGTAACTCAAGTTAATTAACTCGACTCGCCCATCGCTCGTGACTCGAGCGTGCTCCGAAGGTCCCGACGCGCTGTATGAATGAAGTATTCGACTCAGCGGGCGGGTACCGAATCGAGTTAGCTCGAGTTCATGAAAAGTTCGAGTTCATGAGTTAAATAACTCGACTCGTGCATCGCTACCCTGTGGTTGCTACTAGGTATTCACTCACAGTCATCGAGAAGACCACGGAAGAAAAAAAAACCTGGAAGTGCCTTAAGCCTCGATTGCTATCTGAACCGAAGTTGCCAAAAATCACATTCTTAATTTGAAACTGATATTGAAATTTAAAAAGAAATAAATTCTGGATTGTTAATATAATTTAAACTTTACCGTGTTGGCATATCATTGAAAGTTCAATACCATCAGTATCTACTATTACAAGTTACGACGTTTTAATATTATATTAAAATTTCCATAGATAAAAGAAGCGACCATATTGCAGGGGTATAAGATTTATTTTCGTTGCTTGTAACAAAAAAAAAATAAAACATCGATACGCAGAAAATTGTAAATTTATTATATAATATTTTTGGTGCTGCTATCATTTTTGCACTCCAAAACAGCACAATAAGGCTTTTTTGTAGGATTTTATAGTATTTTTTTTTAATTTATTTATTTTATTGTATTTTTTTAATGTAGTTTACTTCTATTGTATTTATATATTATAGGACCATGCATGTGCTACATATATAATCTGTGGAAGAGTACCTATTGCATATTACAGTCGTCGCCAATTTAATTCCGTGTTGATAAGTTACTCCTGCATGTCATGTCATGTCTTCCTGAAATAAATTTTCAGAGTGCCATGGGGACGAATCCGATCTCGATGTGTGCTCCTGCCGACGATGGGGATTCTTTGCTTGTGGACATGGCTTCGACGGCTGTTGCAATAGGAAAGGTACAATATAAAAAAACTGAATTTTGGGAATTACGCAAAGCCTTCAAAGAAATTAACAATTTATTGTGCACATTTGATTATCTTCGAAATGGTGCCACAGTCACGTTTCCGCCATCGCACTTTTTTTTTTGACGGGGAGAAATCTTTATGGATACCCCTGAGCCCATGTGGGGACTCTCCCTCCAGACTGGAGGGCCTACCCCACTAAAAGCCCCCCGGGTTTCCCTCTCGCCGGTTGAGTCGGCGCCGTGGGATCGGTGAACATTCACCACGACGCCGCCCGGGCCGCCATCGCACCTGCCGCCAAAGGCATAGAGTCCTTTCCCATATCACAACACAAATGGTGTATGGCATTCTAAGATTATCACGTTCGTTTCTTCCTCGAACCAGTAAGATGTGAAATGGTCCCCAAGGTCCCCCCATTTTTAAAGGACCCCATGCCATAGTGCAAAGGAGGGATCCTTTGCACTATGGCATAGGGGTCCTTTAAAAAGGGAGTCAACAGGGCTCGCCAGGGCAGGTTGTGCATAAGCAATTCAGTGTTGTAAATGTTTACAGGCCATGATGTCTACTCTTCGAACTAACTCTTCTATTCGATTGTAACCTACTTTACATATAAAAAAAATTCAAATAAAATTGAAATGATTTTGTTCAAATTTATAATAACATTCGAGAGTGTGTTACTTAAACTTAATAATTAATTACGTATGTTGTTTTAATTTTCAGATAGAAGTGCAAATACATAAAGGGGAGCCAATACCAGATGGGTGGGCTTTAGGCCCCGATGGCAAGCCCACTACTGATGCCCAACTAGTAAGTAAAGGGATTTGTTTCGATAGTAATTAAGACGACGACAACTGGACGGGAACGTCATTAATGATGAGAGAACGAATGACGAAAGAGAGAACTGTGGAAACCGTGACCGTGTTTGCGGAATCCGTAAGTTTTTAGCGCCTGTGTCTTAATGATAGCAAAGAAAATATATAGTATGAGTTAAAACATTTGATCACTCACATTTGAATCGCTCGTTGTAAATGAGCAGGCTCTGGATTCTGGCGCGATTCCAAGGCCGCAAACTTATATTTTATTCAATAAGTTTAGGTATTATTCAAAACTTATATTTAAGTGTTTCACATTCAAATAAATAATAGTCTTCATTGCCACTGCATCTATTCGCAATTGTTATATATTAAAAAAAAATTCAATCTCTATATACTAGATAAAGTTTATTTGTTATTAAATAGTATAAGTTAAAACAGAATGTATTAAAGCCAAATAATTTTAACGGCTACGGGTATCCTTTCATGGCCATGTCTGATACGTTTTTGGTTTTTTTATGTTATCTCTATTTTCCGAGAATTATAAAGACATTTTGTGACCTATAACACTTCATAGGTTTCGAACACAAGTCTTGTAGAGAGTTACCTTTCAGGATTTGATTATTGTGCGCCAGTTATGATAATGTTTTTCTTTATTTTTTCACCTCACTAGCTCAGAAAGGTTTTATTTCTCATTAGAAATCTGCACGCAAAAGCGTTTGACGATGGACTGTAGTGCATCTAACTTTTTCTTTCGGTGAAAAAAAACATAATGGCACATTCAACTACGTGATTTGTCGTACATTATTTATGTAATATAAATCCGTTGGTATATTTTATTCTTATTATTGTTGACATTAAATTGACAACAATAACTAATTTTGTTTATTAAACAAATATTTATTTTATTAAAAAAAATGTTCCAACTGTTTTTCTTTCATCTACCATGTTCCTCACTATAGTGAGGTGAAAAGTTGTGTGTTGCGCTCGGCAGCAAAGTTGTTTTGCGTCTCGTGTCTTGAAACCCTCGGAATCTTGGAATCCTTCGCTTGCTCAGGTTTGAATACAAGTACTCGCGTCAAACAACAACTTTGCAGCCTTGCATAACAAATAACTATTATTATGTATTACAGGCTTTTGATACAGGTCGATTGTTGCCGCTGGGAGGGTTTGAGAAAACCAGTGGTTACAAAGGATACGCACTTAGTTCTTTGGTCGAAGTTCTATGCAGCGGATTATCTGGTAGGTAACATTGATGCCTCTTTAGCAATAAGAGTACATACTGCTCCTATTTTACTGCATATTCATATGCAGGTTAGTCACCCTTATCTCATTCATTTATGTACGCTCGCTTTGTAATTTTTCATTTGATTTATAATTTTACTTACGAAAACGTTTGTCTCTTAAGCGTCATCATTATTATTTATTATTATTTTGCATACGCTACAGCTGCACACATAACAGTAATTCTAAATTGTGTTAATTTTTAAAATTTGATAATTAAGTTTGTTTCGTTGATGTCTTTTTGTTTTACTTTTGCTTTTTATTCTTTCTTTCTGAGTAGCTTTGTGTTGTTGCGTTTCAATAAATCTTTTTTATTCTATTTTATTCTAAGCTGGATCCTGGGTTAATGTCATGGGCAGTGCTTAAGACATCTTCTTGGAGCCTTAAAAATGGCTTATAAATATTTTATTAACATGGCACAATTACAGGTTCAAAGGCAACATATAACATCCGTAGCTGGGCGCTGGATAGCGAAGAAGGGCCACCCAACTTGGGCCAGTGTTTCGTGGCAATAGATCCCAATTGCTTCGCGCCTGGCTTTGGACAACGCATTGCCGATTGTTTATGTCATTGGCGAGGCATGGAACCGGTAAATGCTTCCTCATCATCACAAATAATTTAGTTTATTTTTATTAAGAGGCCATACAACCTCAAATGGCTTTGGTTAATTCCGCATAACACTGTAATAACAGTGTATAGAAGAAAAATATACTTATAGTAAAGTTGAGGGTATACACTGATTACTATAAAGTGTGGAAACACGGTTGAAACAAGCTTACGATATACTTATAATATGTGTTATTTTTAAATTCAAAAAGCCTTCAAGCCTTTTTAAAGACCACGGTGTCTAGGAGAACAAACAAGTCAATTTATGTATAAGTAGTCATTTTATGCGTGTCTGAAAAGCTCCATGCGAAAGAGTTCGTCAAGGGAAGTACAAAAGCAAAATCAATTAAAGTCAAAAATTCTTTATTTGATATTTCATAGTCAAATAATCTTTATTTTATTCTTACACTTGAAATCGTCACATTGGTTAAACTCACCGCTCATTCGTAAAGCAGATTCCCCTGAGAAGAATGAGCAAGAAATTCTAGGGGTTGTTCTTTGTAAATAACATTTGTACACATGCAACATTTACAATTTTATTTTCACGTTACATCCATGAGCTAAACGGGTTACTACCACGGATTTTTGTCATCCAAGTACGCAGAAGTTGTATAATAACCATTAGTATAAAGCATTGACTTACAATTATATGGACGTCGGGTCCGCGCTAAAAAGTGTCCGAACTTATAGGGCGTTAAAATCGTATACAGAGCGTCATTCACGCTTTAGTCTTCGTTTGTTCGACTGACAGCGAAGCAAGCAAAATTAGACAGTACTGCGATGACATTACAATTTAAATTCAACGTTTTAGCTTTTTCATATTCCTTTACATGTCACTACGTTTAAATAGGTTGACTTGGGACATTTTTTTCGTGGTTTTTGTATTAGACCCGTCGTCCATTTATTTGTAAGGCAATGGTATAAAGTTTTTGTTTCACTATAGTTTTAAGCCTCGTGAATGGCAAATTTTGTATATCAACCGGAATCTTGTTATAGAAGCGTATACATTGCTCCTTAAATGAATTTGTCACTTTGTGAAGACGACTATCAAAAACAGCTAGTTTATTGTTTATTCCTCGTATTAATGTTATGTCTGTCACTACTTTTCATAAAAATATTACTATTCCTCTAGATCTTTGTATTAATAATTATAACAAACTAGTGGAGTAATTTCACAATAAATAATTGAATATCAATTCAATAAAAATTTAAAATACAGCGAATAGCGACATCTCCCGCCAGGACTGGTAACTGTAAAGATGGCGCTACGACTAAAAAATAGTTGAAAAAACCAAATACAAAGACACGACGCAAGCGCATAGAAAAAATCGTGAGGTCCGCTGGTTCGTTCCGTGGCTTAGTTGGTATAGCGTCTGCCACGGTAAGCTATAAGACGTCGGTTCGAATCCGGCCGGATCGAAGGAATTTTTTCTGAGTGTTCGATCTTTGTATTAATAATTATAACAAACTAGTGGGGTAATTTCACAAAAAATAATTAAATATCAATTCAATAAAAATTTAGGATTACTATTCCTCTTAACATAAATTACATTTTCAAAGATGTACTGTGGTAGTTAGTAGTAGTAATGTTGTAGTTTTAGTACTGTCACTTTACCAATCCTGCTGCCAAGCAGTAATGCGAGCATTACTGTGTTCCAGTCTTGAAGGGTAGGGGTGCTGGCGAAATTACAGGCACATAGGACTTGTCAACATATGCCTCGATGGGCGCAGTGGTAGTGCCCCTCTGATCTTTGCGTTTTAAAGCTCTGAGTGGCACTGCAACTATTAGGGAGATGCCGTAACTGCGTTTTAGTACATATAAGTCAGAACAACATGCCACACGGTGAACGACGACGCAACGCCCGTGTGGCATCTCCCTTATAGACAGGCGTGTCGCTTACTAACAGGCCCATTTGTTCGTCCCGTCACTTAATGTCATAAAAAAAGTAACTGTTGCAGGTGGATCCAACTCTCCCAGTTCTGGTACCAGGGGACAAGGAGCGTAGTAATGCAGAGAACACGACGAAGAAAGGCTGTATTACATACGCTAAAGGCCAAGTTGATGCACTTAATATTATGGCAAACCGGCTTCATATAAAACCTGTTGAAATCTTGTGAGCTTTTTATTATAAATTCAAACTATAAGCCAGTGAATACACATCTAAAATAAAATGTAGACAATATACACGATGACTTTTTAGTCACCGTCCAAGTTTTTACTAAGCATTATATTAGGTATCATACAAATATTCAATTTTAGATAAAAACATTGGTAGATTTGCACAATAAAATATTTTTTATCAGAACGAGTTTCTTTTCATTATACTATTTATTAAATACAATTAACATAGTATAATATACATACAGGGTGTAATCGTTAAGTGTGCCCAGACGACAATTCCGTAAATATAAGAGATATCAAAAACCTTTAAACTTATTATCGAAAGTACGTTACCTAATTAGTAAAACGACATCAGTAACTTTTTTAAATAAAACTAGAAATATTCAACGTATTTCGTATTACATCCATTTAATATGATATTTCGTAGAGAGGTCTATTATTTTGTACGAAAGTAATATCTGTCGAATTAAAACTCACGGAACAATAGTTATTTGTTACGCAAGGCTTCAAACTTGGTGTTTCACGCTTGTATTGAAACCTGAGCAAGCGAAGGAAGCTAAGATTCTACACATTCGAAGATTCTTAGGAAGCTAGATTCCTGATTCGAAGATTCTAAGGAATTTAGATTCCTAAGCGAAGCGACGGTTTCAAGGCACGAGACGCAAGACAACTTTGCTGCCGAGCGAAACACAACTGTTCACCTCACTATAGCGAGGAAAATGGTAGATGAAAGAAAAAACAACTATAAAACATCAGTTTTTTTTTAATTAAAAGAAAAAGTTTTTACGCACATTTACACCCCATCAATTTTTATTCTTGCTTATACTTTTATTTTGTGTGATTAAGTGATTATTGAAATTATTTTAGTTCTCCGATAAGTTAAAATAATTAAACAAACACAATTACTTATCATTGTCAATTTAATGTCAACAATAATAAGAATAAAATATAATAACGGATTTATATTACATAACTATGTAATGTTCGACAAATCAAGTAGTTGAACGTGTCATTATCTTTTTTCCATCGAAAGAAAAAGTTAGGCGCACCACAATCCATCGTCAAGTTCCAATTTCAAAAACCTTTTCCATGCTAGCAAAAAACGCTTTTGCTCGCAGATTTCTAATGAGAAAGAAAGCCTTTCCGAGCTGGTGATGAGAAAAAGTTGTTGTTTATGGTGACGGTGTTGTATTCATATGTATAGTCCTGCGAGGTTGTTAATATTTTACAAATAACTCTGTCTAAATGAAAAGCATAATGCATTTTTTAAATAATTCTACGCGTTCTACGATTTTAAATTTTGTATCTCTAAACTCGACTACATTATGGCGTGACGGGCTGATATCCGCAACTCAAAGTGTAACGCCTATTGTGCGTATGAGCCTGTTAAAGTCAGCTATATTTTGAAGTTCTTTTAATATAAGGAATGGTAACTTAAGCAATAATTATGCAATAATTGCAATATATTTGTAAAAATATTACCATGAAATTTGAACGTGTTAAAATAAATATTTATTCCATCCTGTTGTACATCTGGCGCAAGCAAGGCTAAAGCAATATTTTCATGTCGTGATCCAGTGTCATTGCGAGCGCGTAAATTCTGCTGGTATTTTCTTCAACATTATACGGTTGTTCACCTCAATAACAAGATTGTTGCAGGATTGCCAGAAACAATATACACACAACTATATTTTTTTTATAAATCAAGTGACGGGACGAACAAGTTGTGCGCCTGATAGTAAGCTACACGCCTGTCCTTAACAGTTGTAGTGCCACTCAGAGCTTTAAATCGCAAAGATATGAGAGGCACTACCACTGCGCTCGTCATCCTGAGACATAAGTTTTTTTTTATAAAAAATACTTCCACGACATAGGAGTGGAACCCCCGCCCACGTCTAGTCTCCCGATGATAGAAAGGGGAAGGCGGAATCAAATTATGTAATTCCATCGCACACTCTCCGTGATATATCCTGTAGAATACCGATAAGCTGGAAACTCTACGGCGATGTTCAAGGCTCTGCAGCTTCGCCTCTACTAGTTCCGAGTCACCTACAAGCCTTTTAGCACGGTTGTCGATTGAATCCAAGGTGGCCAGTTGGTATTTAGCAGAGCCATCCCATAAGCGGCAGCAGTACTCCATACACGACCGGACTTGTGCTTGGTACAGCTGAAGCAACTGTCCCGGTGTGAAGTATCACCAGACATGTTGACAAGTCCCATGTGCCTTCAATTTCACCAGCACCCTCACCCTTCAAATCCGACACACAGTAATGCTGGCATAAGTGCTTGGCGGCAGAAATAGGTAAGGTGGCAGTACTACCCTGGATAAACTCTTTCACAAGGAGCTCTACGACTACTAAACATAAGTTGACGTTGTGTCGCTTGCCACCAGCCCACGACTTGTTCGTCCCAACACTTGGTACTATAAAAAAATAATTATTTATAGCTGTCGTCCAGACTTAGGCCATACGCCATAGGCCACTGTACCACAATTTATTATATAATTCTGATGTAGTAAGTATAAAAATTGGTAAAAAACACTTGCACATCTTAAAAAACTAAATTTTGCCTTGTTATATGGTAAATGGTCTTAAAAGATGAAATTATCGTAAGTCTGGCAACCCTGAAGGTTATTGAACGAAGCTTTCTTTTGTTAGGAGTTGCAGATAATGTTCGCCTCCTTATTTAGCACATAAAAAGAGAAATTTTCATCTTTGCGTGTTTAGCACGAATTTTATTGTTCACGTCCGGTCGTTCGCATGTTTCTTTTTGTAAGGGTTGGAGGTCAATACCTACTTTGTATTTACTGACAACGGTACGTCTGTCCTCATAATCTTTGACGATTGAAAGAAATTTTTATTTATTTATTGAGCATTGGCTATAGAGCCATCAGCTTAGAAAGGTGACAAATAATTAAGAAACTTCAACAGTAATATAAAAATTAATTCGTTTAAAAACGTATATAACCAGAAATAGAGACGAAATGTCATTTAATTTGTTTGAAAACTATTCTGCCAAATCATTACGGTGACAACTGCACTCCGATTGGCCAGCCTGAATTCGAAACAATCGACGGGTGTCGTCAAATTGTTTCACTTCAAATCGACCAGGTAACTTGAGCTTTTCTATAATGGATGAAAATTGAAAAATTACATATTTAATATTTAATTACCGATTAAATGTGATTCCGCTTGTTTTGCAATTAGATGTTTTGCTGTCTTTCCCACACCACCGAATGGAACAGCCTCGCTTTGTTAGAGATATTATCTTTATTACAATAAATACAGAATATTTTTGGAATACAAGGTGACGCACACACAGGACAGTTGTTGGCGCTGTACTATATCAGCTTTCTAATTTGTGATTTCAGCGCAAACGACATGTTAATATTTAAATGTGATATTAAGGCCCATTTGCCTGATGAGTTGCCAGGGATGGATGGCCTTTATGTAGTTATCTATTTGTAGTTGTATAGTCGATGATGAAAAACTGTAACTGTAAAATCTCGCCATTTTTTCTGGGATTCAAATGGATTCAAAGAAAATAATGTCACATTGTTTCTTTAAGTTTGAGGGCAATGATATTATGACCATACATCCCGCTCAGTGGTGTTCGTTTACTATTCATCGACAATACATACGTCCCACCTCTGGGAAGGTTCTTTATTCGATCTTCTTCTTGTTCACCTGTAGATAATTAAATTAAAGATCACTATAAAGGGATGGGCCCTTTCCATCCCATCGGTGAGCACGGGATTTCTGTATTGAGAGAGTATAGGACATAGTCAGCTATGCTGGCCCAATGCGGATTGGGGACGACATGTTTTCAGGGTTGTGAACCTTCTTCGCCTTCATCAGAATGTTTGCTACTTTTTCTTTTTTTTTATAACGTCACGTTGACGGGACGAAAAAGTCGTGCGCCCGATGGTAAACTACACGCCTGTCCATAATAGTTACAGTGCCACTCAACCTTTAAATTGCAAAGAACTGAGGGGCACTACCACTGGGCCCGTCGCCCTGAGACATAAGTTAACAAGTCCCATGTGCCTGTAATTTCACTAGCACCCTTACCCTTCAAAACCGGAACACAGTAATGCTGACATCACTGCTTGGCGGCAGAAATAGTTAAGGTGGCAGTACTACCTTAGACGAACTCTTTCACAAGGAGCTCTACCGCTACTTCTTTTATCGTATCGATTGCATACAGTATAATGCTTGATAGCGTGGTAAAAGGATTTGGTAATAGCCGTAAGATACTCGCCGATTGATGCCAAGGGTACGCCAGATGTACAGGAAAGGAATGATTCGTCGTGGGAGGAGGCTCCTTTTTATTCCTTTCGTACATCCCGATAGTTACTAAGTATAAACAAATTTAAGTAAAATGTTCGATCTTTGTTTTAATAATTATAACAAACTAGTGGAGTAATTTTACAAGAAATAATTGAATATCATGTTGGTCAAACATTCTACCATTCAATAAAAATTTAATGTGACTTTTCGATTTAAGGCATAGGTACCTGTCGCCACAGAGATTAAATTTAACTTCTAAATTGTAAAATAACGGGTTTTCTACTGAGCTACTACGGTCCTTTTGTCATCATAGAATGTATTTGCATCCACTCAATTATCACAGTATTCTACACTTTAAATAACATTCTTCACTTACACCAAAAAGGCGGCATCGAATCAAATGTTACTTATAATGCCTGTTTAGACAAGTATTAATTGTGAAAGACGTGCAGAGTGAAACCAGATTCTCTGAATGCTACAAGATTCTTTGCAAGTTACAAGCCGTATCTTGAAACAGGTATTTATTTAGGCGTCTATAGCTACAATGCTAGTGGAGATGGAGCACCGTTAGCGAGCCTCCTTTGAGAGACCAAGAAATGAACAACCTTCGAACTTTCCTCTAGTACAGCCGATGCCCTCACTTGTGTATCCACTATTTGTACGAAGTGCTATACAAATAGTGGATACCTAAGTGAGCGCACCAACTGTACCTACTGTGCTGTACATAATTAATGACTGATTTTATTCAAACAAGCTGTCAATAGAAATTAAAAAATTCAAGGCCTATTGACCCTCGCCTTGAAAAGGCTCAAGTTATACCGTTCAGGGAATATATCTGCAGGTACATATATTTATATAATATACCCT